ATTGACGGAGCTAAAAATGAATCAATCAAAATGAAATTTATATGTATGAAAAGCTTACGTATCATATGTCATTGTCTGTGATTGAGGATTTACAAATTTGACGCAAAACGCGTTGCTGCAAAGTTAAAGATTGGTTTATTGAAAGGCAATCGAGCACAGTGCGACCGATCCATTGACATTGTGTATGAGAGAGTAATTTTTTTTAAATGGATTGTAAAGTTCAACGTCAAAGTGACGGAGGTTTTTTTTCAAGTAAGGGCATGGTTTTACATGGAATGTAAAGGAAATGTTTCCTTCTTCTCATATCTCGATTGAGGATATTATTCTCAATTTCGATTTTTAATGGTAAAGAAAAGTGTAAAAAGATGTCGAGAATTTTACCATATGTCATGTAATATAAAATGCGCGCGGGTCGGTTGATCTCCCAAAAGGAGCGCGAAGGAATTGATATGGTAGGAGTTAAGCTCTTGAATAAAATATGCAAATTATTGAACAACTTTGCTTTGGTATCAAGAAGTACATTAACAAGAGATGTCCTACAATTATCTAGAGGACCGGTCTCAAGAATTTTATTTTAAATACATGCTTTAAAACCTCGTGGTATCATAAGAGTTAAGGAGGGCATATAGCCTGTCATGATCAACTGCATGGATAATCATAGTATTTGTATGTTTATATGTGTATGGTTTGCTAAATTTCTCCTTGTGAAATCGTATTCATTAGATAAATAATTTATGATGATTTAGATCAATTACTGAGAGGAGGATGAAGAAGAGAAAGAGAAATTAAAAAAAAGAGAGAGAGAGAGAGAGAGCAAAAGAAAGAGAGAGAGAGAGCAAAAGAAAGAGAGAGAGAGAGAGATAAAGAGGGAGAAAGAGGGGTTGTCATAAAGATAAAAATAGACTCTTCCTCCACAATCATTGATCATGTCTGCACTATATTGCATTAAAAATCGTGTGCCAGTATACGAGCGCAAGAAGTACAGATCGTTATAATAACTCACGTATATGTACCCAACGATATCCATACAATAATAAGCAGTCCTGCTTTTAAAAAATGCAAACATTGAGCGAAATTCAGTATGTCCAAGGGCAAGAATTCTCCATATTTCCAGGGTCACTATGTACATATATCAAGGCAGAGTAAAGCTAATTCCATTACCTTTTTGGTTGGATATGTTTTCCTTACTCGATCTGAGTCATGCAGGGTCGGAGGCTTTCTGGCCAGCACTCAGACGAAACATGAACATCGTAGTTCTAGAGTGCATATATATTTTGAAATATTAAATCCGATGTGTAGTTAAGTAATCCCATTAATTGTGAGATTTCTTTGATCTCTATTTACATTGGCAATTTACGAGCAAGCTCTAAACGACTATTTCCTTTTTTTTTTCCACAAGTAGATCTTTATAGGGATTGGGTATCTTTGCCTCAGATTCTAAACAAAATCCAGGATTTAGCTTATACTGCAATCATAATTGTAAACCTTTAGGTAAGTCGGGAATCCCATGACTTTTACAAGCCGATCGCTTGTTTGATTATCAAGATATTTATGATTGGAAGTAGAAAATTCAATAACTGTTTGCCAAACGGTTTCGAACAGTTTGTTACAACACTACAGTCTACTGGGGGAAATGAGTATGGTAAAACCGGTCACTCAAAGATTCTAACTTTTTTGAAGCGCAATTTTGTTAGAGCTTCAATATTACACCATATCGCAGACACTGATAACACGTAGGGTCATGCATCTCAGATTTGTAAAACTAGAAAAATGGTTAAATAAACAATGCCTTTAATAAGCAAATGAGAGGTGAAAATGAATGAGATATGCTTATTGTTATAAAGAAAAAGTCGATATTGTCATGTCAGGACCAAAATGGAAAACGGAACTATAACTGATGCTGTTATCCTGTATGAAACTGATTCAATAAATAGATCAATAAAATAAAACAGTTTAGATCCTGACCAAGAATGGACATTCGTATATACTGTTGTGTGCACGGCAACCCGCCCCTTGAACGCACGTTTATTAGGTAGCAGCGAAGTGGAAAGCTCGTTGTAGACAGATTTGAGAAACAATCCTCAATTTGGTATCTAATTCATACTTTTGCTCTTAAGTATATCTGACACTTATAACTCTTGAATACAACTTGAGTAATAGGACATCTTTCAACGACTTTATTCTTATTTCCTTTTCGCCGTAATAATCGTTATCAACACTTAAATACACTGCCAGTCCGTCCTCACACCAACTCAATACTGACCCACATTTAGCCATTCGGGGTAATATAACTCTTTGTTTGGTCTGGTGTTGGCCTGGTGTCGGCCTGGTGTCGGCCTGGTGTCGGCCTGGTGTCCGTTTTATTGGTGTGGCCGAGGTGTATGACGGAAAAGCATGGTTTCAAAAATCTTTTGGGGTTTGAATATAGAAAGGAGAAAAATGAGAATAAAGGGAACAGAGAGAGAGAGAGAGAGAGAGAGAGAGGAGTCTGACAGGGTTGAGGGTATAGTGAAAAAGATTGCCTTCAAAGAGAGATAAATAGACAGAGCGAGAGGGGAGAGAGAGAGAGGGAAAAAAGGGCGTACTAGATCTTCCCCATGACAATGATGGTCTGCATTTCGTCATATCAGAAAAGTGAAGTGTGAACAGATAAAGATAAGCATAACACTCGTCAATTCAATTCATACTTCCCGTGTTCAGAGTTCACACTTAACAATAACAATTAATTGACACTTCTAACGAGAAACGATAATACGAGGGGCTTGTTCAGTCGGAGGGGGGAAACCATGAGAGGAGAATAGTGAATAAGGAACAGATAAGGTCTGTCTTCACCATCTCGAGATTGCCAAATATCCAGCTATTTGAACTATCCCGATCGCAAACTATCCGGCTAATTTGAGTCTATAGAGAGGGGAAAATCGAGAAAGGTAAGAGAGTGCATGAGTGTATGAGACTTACAAAGAGGAAGGGAGAAACGAGAAGAGAGAGAGAGAGGGGAGAAGGAAAGAGAGGGGGATAGAGAGATAGAGAGAAAGAGAGAGAGAGAGAAAAGGGAGAGAAAGAGATGGGGAGAAAGAGACAGAGAGAGCGGGGTTAAGAGTTAGAAAAGAAGAAAGATAAAGGGAAAGATAGAGAGAGAGAGAGAGAGAGAGAGAGAGGGAGAGAGAGAGAGATAGTAGATGCATTTGATAGTTTCCTTTCAAAATTCTCTTAATAACAAACTGCCCAATTCCGTTTTGTATCATTACTGACTACTAGTTGTCGTTTGGTTATGTTTTAATGCAATTCAGTAAAAATTGGCTATTTATGCCTTATACGATCTGCACAAGTCATGCTTTAACTTTCGGTAAAGTTCTCAGAGACTTGTAGATTTTCTAGGGGAACGCCGCCCCCATCCCGAATAATAGACGGTTGAGTTCACGGTCATGTTTTTTTAAAATACATGTATGTTATAACAAGACTTCGCATTCTTGAGTATTATACGTGTAAAGCATATACCATGTTTGTCTACATAGTGCATAGTGTTTGTCCCCCCCCCCCCCCCAAGTTCCATGGATGGCCGCAATACGAGAGAGATAGAAATTCACCTTTTTTGGGGGGGGGGGGGGACGTGTCCCCTTGGTCGCCTCTAAAAACAAAAATCGATGTGCACATATAAATAACATCTGTCTATTAATACCTAATGTTGCTGTAGCATTTGAACAAATTGGCTCATATGCATATTCATCAATTGCATTGTACCCTTTCCTTTTCAACCAAATGTACCAGTATCACGAGCAAAAAAAAAAAAAATACCCTAAGATATCATATGTTATTCGAAGTTTGAGTTATATACCGTTTAATTTAGGAAGGAAAAAAAATTCAGCTATGTAACCGTGACAAATAATGACAATAAATACTGTTGTTGATGATGATGATAATAATAATAGTGACAATAATAACAATAATAATAATAAAGATGATAATAATGATATAAATAATAATAATAAAAGATAGTAACAATACTGTTTCCAAATTCTACGCAATCGTACATTTTCAATAGTTTTGTAAGTCCATTTTTTCTTCCTATATTATTCCACTATGTAAAAACGATTTATATCCGTGTTTCCATATGTCATTGTACATTTGCTACTGTGTGTTATCTATTTGTGTATGTTAGTTTCTATTGCATATTGTTCATGTGCTTTATGTAATGCCAACAACTGAATATTTGCTGCGAGGCCTACTTTGATCTTTCTGTTTAATGGTTTAAATGAGACACCTTTGATAATGACTGAACTTGTACAAGCAAAATGTTTGATATGCTCCTATATTCAAAGTACTGTTTAACGAATTCTCTCTAGGAATACAAACCGTTGAATTGTCACTTAAATTCTTAATAAAAGCTGCATAAAAATATCATAAACACATCATGCCAATATATCGTTTGCTGGCGTGCTGTGCAAGAAACATTTCTCTAGTACGTATTTATTCATTTATCTTATCAATCAATCAATCTATCTATCTAAATATTCGAGTGGCCATTTAGTTGTTTTACAAAAGAGCCATGCAGGTCATAACAAAAGTAAGGTATGTACAATAAGTAAAGCCAAAGCAATGTGATTGTACAATCAATATATAGATCACGAAATAATAATAATAATGATAATAATAGTGATAATGGTAATAGTTATAACTGTAATTTATATTGCGCAATTGCTTTACAATTATACTTAACAAAGCATAGAAACAAAGCAAAAATTGACGTTAATACAGAAATAATACTACATTAATTATCAAAGAATTATGTTCTATCATTCAGTACAATAAATAGGATGTCCAGCCTTAAAGCTCCTAAAAACTATTCATGAGAACATTCATATAACCTTTTCTGGTACTAATCGAAATGAATTCTACGCTCCCTACATGTACAACAGAATATATTTCAAAACGCAAGAGATAAGTTATTTCTGTAGTCATACAATCACGAATAATAAAAAGCCTGGAAATTAATCACTCACCATCGGAGCAATCTGTCAACCCGAGAAGTAAAGTGGCGTAAAGAAGCACCAGCGCTGGTAGACACATTTTACGTGTAATCCTCACAAAAAAATGACAACTAAACTCCATTTTTGTTCCGAATTTTCCATAAAACGACGTCATTTATTCATGACGGTTTTGCGCGTCCTTGCATGTTGTTAGCAGCTACAGCGGACTAGATCGGGAGGCCACCCAAAGAAAATAAAATAATTTGCGTTGATCAAACTCGGCGGCGCTCCAATAGTCCACCGCGCTACGTATTCCATTGCTATGCGAAATCACGACGATCAAACCAATTAGTAACTGAGGTTTGTGTTTGGCCGCGAGTGGATGACAGCGACACGTCGCGACGGCTACGGGAAGATGTAGGCAGCTCCGCGCCTATCTGGTCGAATATCGCCTCTAGGTTGAGAGATAACGAGCCATGCAACATGGCAAGCATGCTGTCATTCATATCTCTACCCTGTATATTAATTACAGCAATCATCGTTACTCCCCAGGCTAATCTCCTTCGTTCAAGACCGTATCCAGATGTGACATATGACAAGAATCACTTAATCGTCTCTTGTACGGAACCTATTCTATACAAGCTTTCCTTTTTTTAGGTTTCGTCATATTTGACTTTGAAATAGATAAATTCGTCTGCTTGTAAAAGCTCTTTAATAACTCGATTAATAACTAAATTCGTAATATGTGTTTACTTTCTTTTTGTGTGATTATAATTTACAAAGAAGTATTTTGATATCGTAATATATATTTCATGTGCAATATGGAAAACAATAAACTAAACTGAACTAAAACTGAATCACACGTGAAATATTAACATGAAAATATTTATCCGTGGGTCATATCTACCCATGACATGAATATCTTGGCCTGAAATCCACGTCGTAAATTATTGGCAGTGAGTATGAAGTAAGCCTGAATGGAAAGAAAAGCACAACTTGAACCATTCAAGGGTTGTACATAATTGCTTGGCACCTCTGGTTTGCCTGTCAATTGATTTCGTAATCACTAATTATTTTTTAGCACCAAACCTTCTACTAACTAAAATATTACAAGAATGTAAAAGTTATCTCCTTCTCGATGTCTAGCTTATTATTACTCATCTCTCTCTCTCTCTAGATATGAATATATATATATATCCTCTCTTTATCTCTTCTCTCTATCCCTCTCTATGTCCTTTGTCTCCCCTCTCTCTCTCTCTTTCTCTCTCTCATTTAGTAAATTTGCATCATTTGAATGTGTAATACTTTTAATGTACAATATTTGTTGTTGTTATCGTTATTGTATTAAGCTTGTATCAAGGCGTACGGCGCTCATTTTATGTATGTATATAACATGTAATTGAGTATACAATGTCTGATCTAAATTCATATCAACGGTGATGATGATGTCGTGTACAGTGTATATATATTTATATGTATATTTATATATTATATATGCATATGTTTATGTATTACTCAAATCTCACCATATCAATCTATCGAGACCCTCTCTAACTGTAAACAACACACGATGACAAATAAATCAATTGAAAGGTTGCAAAGGTATACTGGCAGGCCAATGATATAAAATTCCCTCGGAATAAATATAAAGTTGAGTTCTGGTCATGCGATTGCATTGTGAAATCGATCGGAAGAAGATGATCCTGTAGCATATAAGTATGCAAGGTTCTGGAGTCATCCAAATGAAAAGAAATTTAGCCCAGTCTTGGTAAAGTAACAAACACTGTACACAGAAAGATGTATATAGGACTACACAAACATGTGGCATTAAATTCGGGGCTTATTTTTTAATCCGTTACTTGTCATATTTAGAATATAAAGGCTTTTGGAGAGCCATGCTTTTCAGGGAACATTTTTTACTCTGATGTTCTTCCACGATTACATACTAACAATGATAGCGCTCACAACATATGTTTTACCTCTCCCTAGAACTCAACCTTCTTTTTATAGTCCCAAAGTCATGACTATTCTTCTGATTTCTGATTTTCTGCGAATAGAACTGTAATTATTCTAACTGGCAGTAGATTTCATTATTTTCTATTTGGATCGATCGCAACTCTTTATAAGACGGGGCCCGGAACTCCACTATATCTTTGATAACATGTCTTCATATACGCATGTTTCGCCGCCTAATTTACCCTTCACTGACTATTGAATGCCCCGTCAAATAAGGCGAAAGGGTCCGATCGATAAAATAATTCCTCTTGTCTTTAAATATAGCTCACTCTATTTTATCCATATGTACAGCTATTAAAACAAGTTCATTTCCTGCTCTTCAAACATCAATAATCTTCCCTTATTATAGATGTTCAGTATTGCGACAGATATGACCAGTCTTGCCTAATGGTGTAGTGACTAACTTGAACGTATATTAGCCAAATGAGATACTGGTCCAACTAACCACATTGCATAATAGTTTCAACTCATGTGATATGATTGATTCAAATTCACAACAGACATTATTTCGGAACTGTTTTCATGCAGTCGGGGTCCTAGACCTTTTTTCTTTTTTTTTCTTTTTTTTTTTTGGGGGGGGGGGGGGAGTCGAGGCCACGAAGCCCATTCCCCTCCCATTAAAGATAAACATGAGTTCTGGTTAAAAAAAGAAAAGAAAATGAATTCTCACAGAATCTAACGAAACTTACACTGAATGTTCAAGATTACAAATAAATGTCATGTGCCAAACAATTTTGGAAGAAAATGTATACTGGCTGAGTAATGAGCATAGAAAGATAAGGAAATCAATGTTAGTACTAGCCCCGACACCATTTGTGTTGTCCCATATACATCTTTCTGTGTACAGTGATCGTTACTTTACCAAGACTGGGCAAAATTTATGAATTTGATGACTCCAGAACCTTGCAGTACACACCAATACTTATATGCTATATGATCATTTTTTCCTGATTCATTCCACACCTTTTCTTTCACAATGCAATCACATTACCAGAACTCAAGAACTCTCTCTCTCTTCATCAGTTCCAAATATAGCCTAGTGAATAATTTGCCTGACTTTTCTTATATCCCAGTGATGTTAATCGTGTCAAGTTAAAAGATGGCTCCTTCATCACAATTCCACAAATCATTTATGATTATGTGAAAGGTAACTACAGAAAAAAAAACGATAATTTTTAGGCTTACGAATAACGAATACTCAAACTAGAATTCTACATTGAGATAATAACGGCATTATACAAATGACGTGGCTTACTTATAAGAAAGCCTTTGCCTTTTTTTAAAGGGAAGAGACGCCGACGTATAGCACTTCAGATCATATTCACTACTAGTATACGGAGTAAGTCATAACAAGGACATCCAGATTCAACCCCTAACTTTTATTTCAATCAGTACATTTATTAAAGGGTACCTACCATAAAGTTTAACCCAGTCCTTTAATTTGACAAGTTGATGAAGAAAAGAATCTGACCTTGGAAAGCTATTTGATATAAATTTTCCTGATGACAAATTTGCCCCCGCCCAAGTATTGACTAAAATGGATAGTCAACCCAAGGTGTAGTTTAATTTCGTTAAATCTCCATTCCAATCGAATGCCCACACACGATGGAAGAAAGTATTTGTGGATTCGTACTTCATTCATACGGACTCTCATCCATCAACTCGCTAATTATTCGCAACTTACAGACTTTGTAATAAATATCACAGTTTGCATTGAAAAACATAAAAATATTAGTTATGAAAAGGAAGAGAAAAACCTAGGCTTTTTATTTAAAGTAAGGTTTCGTTGCCAGAATTCAGGTTTGAAGTAAAAGGTAAAGACCAGTTTTAAAAAACGCCCCCCCCCCCCTCTCAAAAAATGAAATGGAAGCTCTTAATATTACAAATCATGTGAAAGAATATGTTTTGACTAATACGTGATGATACAAATTTTGCCGGGAAACCGTCCACTAATTGATATATTTAGTAAATTATTATATCTATCCAGACAGATATTGCGCACGTGTCGCAAAGACCCATATACATCTTGCTGTGTGCAGTACTTGTAACTTTACCAAGACTGGCCCAAATTTCTTCTCATTTAGATGATTCGATAACCTGGCAGTATACAAACCAATACTTTTACGCTAGATGACCAGCGTTTCTGATCGATTCCACAACGTTTCTTTCACAATGAAATCGCATGACCAGAATTGGTCTTTACCTTTAAAGGCAATACAAAGTGTTGGCAAATTTTGAAAATTGGATGGATAATAATTTTTTAAAAATTTGATATATTTGCATGCCCCTGTGGATATATCATATTCTGTTTTCGAAAAATAGAATAGTCAAAATTGTTCCGGTGCTTCCGGTACATTTCAAATATTTCAAATAGTGCCTTAAAGGTACTATGTCCCATTTGCAGGCCAAACAAATGAAAAAGTTAAATTCGGACTGCATTTGAAAAATAATACTAATTTAGAACTTCCCTAAAAAGGTGGGGCTTGAAAATGTCTTCAAGTGGGAAAATAACGACTATTAGTTGTCAAATCGACTTTAGGGCTATAGAGCCCAAAAGTAATAGTCTTGGTTTTCAGACAATTGTACCGAATGGTCATACGTTTTAAGCTGCGCAAAGATTCAATCAGTTTAATCTTGGCCATCACAAGAAGTGGGTTATTGATGTAGACAAATGCCCATGTACCCCTTACAACTCTTTTCATGTATGTTATTACCAAAGAAGAAAACAAGCCAGTCAGTCACTCAATATTGTCTGACAGTGAAGTCTAGCAAGTATATGGGTTTCCTTGCATAATTTGAATATGAGGACACTGCTAACGTTTAAATTTCACAGATAGGACATACATGACATATTCATAATTCCTACAAAGTTCTACAGCATTTGAGGTTGGCTGCAAAAGGGACATAGTACCTTTAAGCCATTCCCTGGTAGCTGCGACCATAACATTATCAGAATATGCATTTCTGATATATAATTTCCAAACGAGAATAGCAAATCGGTCAATTGTAGTCAAGAAACATTGTTTTAAAGCTAAAGTAATATCAATCTCGAGAGGGGACTATACAACATAAAGAGTTTATTATTTACAATTTCATCACTTTAGACTCGATTTCAAACGCGACAACGATTATTGAATATTGTAAAACCGCATATGCTTCCAATATGTTCATTTGAACCAAACTCTTAACCTCATACCAAAACTTTGTATTATAACGACTCTGATTTGGGGACGATGAACGAAACGACACATCCCAAATTCCCTTACCAAAATGCGTGTTGTCATAGTTACGGTATAAGGCGTTTCAAATTGTCCCATCATACTGTCATCTAGTAAATATGATCTAATAACGGTGGTGAATTGGTGACGGCGTTTTA